CTGTGTATCATTTGTATATCACATATGTATCATATTTGTATCAAATATATATCATATGTATATCTATGTGTCACGACCCCCATGTATCATGACCCCCATGTGTCACGACCCCATTTTCCCCTCCGAAGGATGTCCTAATGGCACCTAGTCTCTAAGACTAGGTAAGCCTAAATATTTGTGAAATCAATGAATAATAAACTGAACTCCAATCTCAACACATGATATATAAATATAAAATTGCCATTCAATAATTACAACTCCCAAAACCTGGTGGAAACAAGTCACAAGCTTCTAAGAGCAAATACTAAATGTCTATATACATCAGAGTCTAAAGAAAAATAAGAAAAACAACATAATAAGGATAGAGGGGGACTCTAAGGTCTGCGGACGCTGGCAGATATATCTTGAAGTCTCCAAGTGCGGTCCAACTCACTAGTATCTGGTCTGGTGGGAAGAACCTGGATATGCACAAAAGATGTGCAGAAGTGTAGTATGAGTACACCACAACGGTACCGAGTAAGTGCCAAGCCTAACCTCGGTAGAGTAGTGACGAGGTCAGATCAGGGCCCTACTGGTTTAAGAGAAAAGTAAGGCAGAAGATATAATAATATTTTGAAATGACTGAGAATATAAACAATAAGAAGTTTCAGAAAATATCAGCACAATAAATAGGGGTAAACAACAGGGACACTTCCGAGGTACCGCCTCGTAGTCCCAAATATAAATATGCACGGTAGGAGAATCTCCCGAGGTACCGCCTCATAGTCCCAAAGTAAATATGCAAGACAGGGGGATCTCTCAAGTAAATGCGTCGTAGTCCCAAAGTAAATATGTAGTACAGGGGGATCTCCCGAGTAAATGCCTTGTAGTCCCAAAGTAAATATACAGTACAAGGGGATCTCCCGAGTAAATGCCTTGTAGTCCCAAAGTAAATATACAGTACAAGGGGATCTCCCGAGTAAACGCCTTATAGTCCCAAAGTAAATATGCAGTGCAGGGGGATCTCCCGAGGAACCGCCTCATATGCAGTACAGGGGATCTCCCGAGTAAATGCCTCGTAGTCCCAAAGTAAATATGCAGTGCAGGGGAATCTCCCGAGGAATCGCCTCGTAATCCCAAAGTAAATATGCAGCAGATAACCGAAGGAACAATGAATTTATGGCAAGAAAACTTATAGTTAAAGTTTTTAATTTAAATCAAGGGATACTTCTTGTACCTCTCGAGCCTGAGCTGTTCTGCCTCAGAAGCTGCTGCCCTAACCTCGGGCTGAATTGGAGCTACCGGTTGTATCGGTATGATCTATGGATCATGGTCTATCTGAACCCGTTGCTCTAGGGTACCGGCGATGGGAGTCTGTGCTCCTCCCCCGGCTCGATATGTGGCATGAGCAAGTGATATCAATTCTGCCTGAGCCAAGGTACTGAACATGCTCAGAAACTGGGCTAGAGTCTCCTGGAGGGCTGGTGCAGTAACAGGCATCTCAGGTGCCTGCCCTCCAATTGGAACAACTGGTGGCTCCTCTGTAGTAGCTCATGCGGGTGCTCTGGCTGCACCACGTGGACGTCCTCGACCTCTACCCCGACCCCGGCCTCTCGCGGCTCTAGTAGAGGGCGCGGGTGTCTGATCATCCGATCCACCTGTACGTGTCCTCACTATATGTGAGAGAATAGAAAGATAGAAGTTTAGAGTCCGAAGTCAAAATCTAGCACTATAAGGAATCAAAGAAAGTGAAGCTTTACCCTAACAGTTCCATATCCTCCCAAAGATAAGTACAGACGTCACAGTACCGATCCACGAGACTCTACTAAACCTGCTTGTGACTCATAACACCTATGAACCTATAGCTCTAATACCAACTTGTCACGACCCTATTTTCCCTTCCGTAGGATATCGTGATGGCACCTAGTCTCTAAGACTAGGTAAGTCTAAAAATTTGCGGAATCAATGAACAATAAACTGAACTCCAATCTCAACACATGATATATAAATATAAAAATGCCATTCAATAATTACAACTCCCAAAATCTGGTGGAAACGAGTCACAAGCTTCTAAGAGAAAATACTAAGTGTCTCTATACATCAGAGTCTAAAGAAAAATAAGGAAAACAACATAGTAAGGATAGAGGGGGACTCCGAAGTCTGCGCACGCTGGAAGATATACCTTGAAGTCTCCACATGCGGTCCAACTCACTGGTATTTGGTCTGGTGGGAAGAACCTGGATCTACACAAAAAGATATGCAGAAGTGTAGTATGAGTACACCACAACGGTACCGAGTAAGTGCCAAGTCTAACCTCGGTAGAGTAGTGACGAGGTCAGATCAGGGCCCTACTAGTTTAAGAGAAAAGTAAGGCAGAAGATATAATAATATTTTGAAATGACTGAGAATTTAAACGATAAGAAGTTTCAGAAAATATTAGCACAGTAAATAGAGGTAAACAACAGGGGCACTTCCGAGGTACCGTCTCGTAGTCCCAAATGTAAATATGTACGACAGGAGGAATCTCCCAAGGTACCACCTCGTAGTCCCAAAGTAAATATGCAAGACAGGGGGATCTCCCGAGTAAACGCCTCGTAGTCCCAAAGTAAATATGTAGTACATGGGGGATCTCCCGAGTAAACGCCTCATAGTCCCAAAGTAAAGATGCAGTATAGGGGATCTCCCGGGTAAACGCCTCGTAGTCCCAAAGTAAATATGCAGTGTAGGGGGATCTCCCGTGAAATCGCCTCGTAGTCCCAAAGTAAATATGTAGTACAAGGGATCTCCCGAGTAAACACCTCATAGTCCCAAAGTAAATATGCAGTGCAGGGGGATGCCCCAAGTAACCGCCTCGTAGTCCCAAAGTAAATATGCAGCACATAACCGAAGGAACAATGAATTTATGGCAAGAAAGCTTACAGTTAAAGTTTTTAATTTAAATCAAGGGAAGCAGGTAATTCAACTAAGCATATTGCATAAATTTGCAAGTAAGGGTTAAGGCACGTAGACATGAGGTACTATGCTAAACATGATCAATACATATGCTAAGGTAACTCAATTAAGGAATTTAAAAGAAACAACTCAGCAAAAATTGAAAATTTCACAATTAGCCCGTGTACGCACTCGTCACCTCGCGTACACGGCGCTCACATATCATAAAGTGTTACAACAGTACCAAATCCTAAGGGGATTCCCCCACACAAAGTTAGACATGTCACTTACCTCAAATCTCGCTCAATCAATCGGTAAGAATGTCTTTTCCTCGACTTTCCAACTCCGAATGGCCCAAATCTAGCCAAAAGCAATTACATATCATGAATACAACTACGAGAAACTAATTTAATAATAATAAATATACGAATTTATCAAAGAATCAAAAAATCGGCCCAAAAAGTTGATCCGGGCCCACGTCTCGGGTAAAAGTCACAAAATACGAATACCTATTCGATATCGAGTTCACTCATATGAAAATTACCAAAATCCGATACCAAATCGCCACTCAATTCCTCAAATCAAACTCCCCAAATCCCTAACCTCAAACTCCCACCTTCCACCTTCCACCTTAAACACACACAATCTAGGTGGGAAAATCAATGGGGAAACAAGATTATTGATAAAAAATAAGCACAAGGGACTTATCTCAAGAAATTCTTCTAAAATGCTCTCAAGAAGTCGCCAAACCCGAGCTCAAAATGTCTAAAATGAGCTAAAATCGCGAACCCTTGCATTTAAGTGTTCTGCCCAGCTTTCTCGCTTTAGCGGTCATATTAGCCGCTTCTGCGGTCATATTAGCCGCTTCTGCGGTCCGGCCCTCGCATCTGCGGAGGCCACTAAGCCACCCAACCGCTTCTGCGGGCGTGCTTTTGCGGACCAGCCTCAAACTCCAGCGTCTGCACCTGTGGAACACCCTCCACATCTGCGCTCCACAACCCCTAGTCCAAACCTTCGCATCTGCGTAACACGCCCCGCACCTATGAGCTCACACCTGCGATCAAAGCTCTACAGGTGCGGTTACTCTAGGAGAGTCCCTTCAGCCATGTACCAAGTCCCTTTTTCAATCCGTTAGCCATCCAGAATCCACCCGAGGCTCCCGAGACCTCAACCAAACATAACAACAAGCCCTAAAATATCATACGAACTTAGTCGATTCTTTAAATAACATCAAACAACGCTAAAAATATGAATTGCACATCGATTCAAGTCTAATGAACTTTAAAACTTCAAACTTCTATATCCGACGCCGAAACATATCAAATCAAGTCCGATTGACCTCAAATTTTGCACACAAGTCATAATTGACATTACTGACCTACTCTAACTTTCGGAATCTGAATCCGACCCCAATATCAAAAAGTCCACTCCGGGTCAAACTTCCCAAAAATCATCAAATTTCCAACTTTCACCAATTGACGTTAAAATGACCTACGAACCTCCAATTCAACATCCGAATACCCTTATAAGACCAAAATCACCCTACGGAGCTATTGGAACCGTCGAAACTATATTCCGGAGTCGTCTTCACACAGTTCGAACTACGGTCGATTCCTACGACTTAAACTTCTATTTTAAGGACTATGTGTGCCATTTCACTCCGAAACCAAAGACAAATCCTCCCGGCAAGTCATAAAACCCAAAAATAAAAATAGAGGGAACAATAATTAGGGGTTCGGGGCTAATTTACTCAAAACGACCGGTCGAGTCGTTACACCATGTATACATATATTTGTGATATATGCGTGATACATGTTTGGTACATGATTGGAGATGATTTGACCTTTTTATGACCTTTTTGTATTTCATCATCTTTTTTGCTCATCACGCTTGAAAACATGGAAGGATATCTTTGAGTGTGATTTTTGAAGAGAAAAAAATCTTATTTATTTGAATTTTTAATTTTTATATGTGTTTGACATTTTTAATTTTTATATGTGTTTGACTAGTTGAATTGACTTTCAGAGGTTACTAAATTGAAACTTATTTGGACATTTATATAAGATTCCGTTAAAATTTCATACGGATATATAAGATTGTTGGGTGGATGAATTCGACCGGCGTCGTCAACTGCAGATGAATTCCAATAACGTCGTTATTGCTTTTGTCGACCAGCAAAGCCATTAATATTTTTTGGTAACTAAAGCCATTTAATTTGTTGTTCCCTTTTCTTTTCCAACGAATAAATTGCCCAAAGGAATGAATTTAAGTACCGGTTGGATGACATGGAGCCCAATATCCATGGGTTCTAGCAGTAATAGTAGCAGGATTTCCTGTCATACACATAACCCACTTTCGAATATGGCGAGAAGGAGAAGGGTATGTATAACGGTGAATGCCAAGAAGAGAAGCAAACCAGTTCTCAAGCCTTCGGTTGTTGAAAAAGTTTCTTTGGTTGATGAGGCTGAGGATGAGCTTCTTCTTGAAGATGGTATGCAATTTACTAGAAATTAAGCATTGTTTTTTTTTTTTTAATTTAATGTCTACTTTTGTTTGTGGTATCTCTTATCTATTGACTATTTAAGGATTTGGATTTCATATCTTCCGCGATTTTATTCTATTCTAACCAGTTGGTCTTCCTCTTGTTAGTATAGATTACCGCATATCCATTCAATTGTCTCTCTCATGTTGTGACAAATAAAGGCAGTGGGTGAAGCTTTGCTATCTTGCCCCTTTTTCAGTTTGTAGTTTGTATTCCACTAGGGCTAGTATGGTAGGATGTTAGGGAAAATAAAACATGTATTAGCTTTTGTATTATTAATCCCTTGTTTGGTAGCGTTTTCAACCTCTCTATAACTAATACTTATATTAGATATACACCATATTCAGTACTATTTTTATACATAGCAAACCATGGCATTAGCAATACCATGGTTTATAGTACATGGATAAGTATGTATAAAGATAGAACTACCCTTTCAAAACCTTTAATACACCATACCAAACTGTCGATAAGAACTAATCACATCATAATTAATCTCAGCATTACTAAGCCTACCATTAGTAATACACCCTATTCAGTACTATTCTTATACACCTTACCAAATGACCCCTAGTTGTGTTAGGAGTCCTTTGGTTTGCGGACTAGTTATACAACTATTCTAATACAATGACTTTTATTAGTTGAATAATAATATAGCAAGTCTTAATGAATAACGATACATAGATTGTTCGTAAAATAACTATACATAGGTTATCATTTGGTGAATAGTAATGCAATGATTATTATGTAGGTATATGCGATATCAACGTCAATAATTAGCTTTAAGGTTATTTCTATCATTTCAGGTGCTAATACATATATTCTTATTCCATATTCTATTCTGAGTAAAGTTATACATGGATTCTTGCACAAGTATATCAGTATCGGCAACGTAGAGTTCTATACTGTAAACCCAACATTGTGGAGTATTTATTATGCATAATTTTACAAAGTTTGCATTAGTTTCTTTAAATTAAAGTTTACATTAGTAATAGTAGTAAATCGGAATTTTATGTAATAGATAAAGATGTTGCCCATAGGATTAAAATCGGATGGTTGAAATGGAGAAATGCTAACGGGATGTTATGTGATAGAAGGCTGCCCACCAAAGTGAAAAGTGAGATCTACAGAATAAATATAAGACCGACAATGTTATATGGTAGTGAATGGGCTGCTAAAGTCCAACATATCCACAAGATGAGTGTTTCCTTTGATGCGGATACTAAGATGGATGTGTAGTCATAGATAAAATTAAAAGTGATCACATTCGCCAGAAGGTGCAAGTAACACGCATTGAAGATAAAAATAGAGAAGGTCACTTGAGATGATTTGGTCATGTCTTGCGTTGCCCTACATAGGTACCGGTACATAGGCGCGAATCTATGGTGAGCGATAGTGTTAAAAGGAACGAGGTAGACCTAAAATCACATGGAAGGAAGTTGTCTCGAAAGACCTACAAATCATTGGAATCAATACAGACTTAGCTAAAGATAGGGCATAATGGAAGAAAATGATTCATATAGATCGGAATAGGCTTTAAATTTATTAGAGAACTTTAATATTATTACGATTACTAATATATATATATATGAAATTTATTTTCGTTACTATTATTTAATTTTGGCATGATGACGATATGAGTTGAGCTTAAAGAAATAAGTGAGTATTCAAACCCCAACTTTGTTTGGGACTGAGGCATAGTTGTTGTTGTTGTTGTTGTTGTATGCCAGAATTTTTTTTTTTCTATAGCAAACCAAACGAGTTACTAATTTGGTAATACGTTTTGTATAGCGGATAAGGAGTTATTACTTTTCCCACAACATACTTTTGTCTTCTCCTTTGCTTTAGTTACCTCGAAATGGATAAAACTAATAATCAAGGATATATAAGAATTGCAGTAGTCCATTGTCTGTCTGGAAGTCCAGATAACTGAAATGGTCTTTAAGTTTGGCAAGTTTCTCTCATGAACTTATTTCCTTTCTGAATTTATTTCAGTAGGTGTTTCTCCAAGAATGTAGCCTTATTTTTCTGCTTCTACTACATGAAAGATACGCATATCCTATCAGCTTAACGTTTGAGAAATTATAAATACACGAACATTAAGATCCTTCATACAAGTCAAAATTCTGTTAAATTATTGCTATAGAATCTATTCTCTGATGCATCCTAATGGAGTATGCAGGCAACAAGATAGTATATATGCATATGGTATTTTCCAAGGTGCATCAAAGACGAAGACGGTAGAGTATTGATGGGAGAGGCCCAGATTAAGCGGAGATGACAGACTTACTTTCATAAACTTCTGAAAGAAGAAGGGGATCGAGATATTGTGCTAGGCGAGTTGGGGCATTCCGAGAGTCACCGTGACTTTGGGTACTGTAGGCGCATCAAGGTTGAGGAGGTCGTGGGGGCAATGCATAAGATGAGCGGGGCAGAGCTACCGGGCCTGACGAGATTCCGGTAGAATTTTGGAGGTGTGTGGGTAGAGCAGGTTTGAAGTGGCTGACTAGGCTGTTTAATGTTATTTTCAGGACGAACAAGATGTCAGATGAGTGGAGGTTGAGTATGGTGGTTCCGTTGTACAAGAACAAAGGTGATATCCTGAGTTGCAACAATTATAGCGGTATCAAATTACTGAGTCATACCATGAAAGTTTGGGAGAGGGTGGTAGAAGCGAGGGTGAGGAGGAGGTGTCTATATCTGACAACCATTTCGGGTTCATGCCGGGTCGTTCTACTACGGAAGCTATCCACCTTATTAGGAGGTTGGTGCAACAGTACATGGATAGGAAGAAGGATCTGCACAAGGTGTTTATTGATCTGGAGAAAGCGTATGACAAGGTTCCTAGAGAGGTTCTTTGGAGATGCCTAGAGGCTAAATGTGTGATGGTTGCTTACATTAGGGCGATTAAGGACATGTATGATGGAGCTAAGACTTAGGTTAGGACAGTGGGAGGCGACTCTGAGCATTTTTCGGTTATTATGGGGTTACTCCAAGGATCTACGCTCAACCCATTCATATTTGCCCTGGTGATGGATGCACTGACACACCATATTCAAGGTGAGGTGTCGTGGTGTATGTTATTCGCTGACGACATAGTTCTGATAGACGAAACGCGAAGCGCCGTTAACGAGATGCTGGGAGGTTTGAAGACAGGACCTTGAGTCTAAGGGTTTCAAGTTGAGCAGGACTAAGACGGAATATCTTGAGTGTAAGTTCAGTGCCGAGCCGAGGGAAGCGGGCATGGACGTGAGGTTTGGATCGCAGGTCATTCTCAAGAGAGGCAGTTTCAAGTACCTTGGGTCGGTTATCCAGGGGGATGGAGAGATCGTTGAGGATGTCACACACCGTATAGAGTGGGGTGGATGAAATGGAGGTTAACATCTGGAGTCCTATGTGACAAGAAAGTGCCACCGCTACTCAAAGGTAAGTTTTATAGAGCGGTGGTTAGACCGGCCATGTTGTATAGGGCTAAGTGTTGGTTAGTTAAGAACTCACATATCCAGAAGATGAAAATAGCAGGAATGAGGATGTTGAGGTGGATGTGTGGGCACACTAGGATGGATAAGATTAGGAATGAAAATATTCGGGAGAAGGTGGGCGTGGCTCCCATGGATGACAAGATGCGGGAAGTAAGACTCAGATAGTTCGGGCATGTATAGAGGAGAAGCACAGATGCCCCGGTAAGGAGGTGCGAGCGGTTGGCATTGGTGGGTACGAGGAGAGGTAGAGGGCGCGACCTAAAAAGTATTGAGGAGAGGTGATCAGGCGGAATATGGCAAGACTTCAGATCTCTGACTTCTAAGTTCGCACCCGTATCAGGTGCCCACACTTGTATTCGAGCAACATATGGTCTGGCATAGTTCTTTTGTCTTGTTAATCACACCTTCCTAGATAGATCTATTTTAATTTTACTACTCCGAGTACAAGACATGTTAATTTGAAGTTTGATTTTGCAAACTTTTTCTATTTCAAAATGAAAAAAATAAATCTAAGAATAACAACATACCTAGTGTATTCCCACAAGTGGGGCTTGGGGAGAGTAGTATGTACACAGGCCTTACTTCTACCTTGTGAAAGCAGAGAGACTTTTTCCGGAAGACACTCAGCTTAATAAAGCAAAAACACTGCAGTTATGGCAAAAAAACTACGGTAAGCGAAATAGTAACAACAACCAGAAAAAGAAAAAAAAAATGAAGCAAAGGAAACATCAGGCAATAATATCGATCTAAAAATAGGGAACACGAGGATAACACTTGCTACAGTTATGGAAGGAAGTAGTACAGGTTTGGAAAGGAAATACGTTCGACTACTTACTAACCTATACCCCTAATCCTCGGCCTCCATACCCTCCTATCAAGGGTCATGTCCTCGGTAAGCTGAAGATGTGCCATGTCCTGATCACCTCTTCCCAATATTTCTTCGGCCTATCTCTACCTCTCCTAGGACCCACCATAGCCAACCTATCACACCTCCTCAATGGGGCTCCTCTTCACGTGCCCGAACCATCTCAGCCTCGCTTCCTGTATCTTGTCCACCACACAAGTCACTCCCACCTTATCTCGAATATCTTCATTCCTAATCCTATCCCTTCTATTATGACCACACATCCATCTCATCATCCTCATTTCCGCAACTTTATCTAAGAATAATAGTCAAATATTGTGCTTGATCACATTTATTTTACTTTTCTATTCTTGTTTTCCTTCTGCATTTTTTGAGGATGCTTCTAATTATATCATCTATTAAACATTTAAAATCAGTGTTATTTCCTCACCTTGGTAAACAGTACTTCACATGCAGTGAAGATGAGGATTTATCCTGTAAGCTGATTTCCATGATGAAACAAATGAATTAAGTATTATGTTTTAATAAACAATAATGTTGAATGCCTAAATTTTTAATGATAGAGGACCTGGTGGATGATGATGATGGGGTCTTTGACGAGTATTTTGAGGAAGACGCTGAGCTTTATGTAAGTTCTACAAGAAACTTTAAGTCTTGTATGGTATTTAATTTTCATTAATTTTCAGTATAACCACTTTGTGAATTTCATATAGTGAACCACTTTTTCCTGTTTTAAGGCTGGGGATGGATCGGGAGGAGGAGGGATCTCTCTGGCTGGGACATCATGGGACAAAAGAGCATTAGAACTTGCAGAAGAAGTTGCTCTATCATTTGATGGGGAATTAGGAATTTATGCCTTTAAAACATTGAAAAATGCCAACATTCAAGTACGAGTGGAGAGACTTACAAATAAGTAAGCTGCAGACATTTGCTTGAGACAACTATTAGTTGCATATATGTCATGAACCACATATTAAATCCAGTTAAAACCTCTTTCTGATGAAGGGAGAAGCAGGTCAAAAGTTTCTTTTCTTTTTGTTTCCACGGCTTAATTTGCAATTGTTTTCTGGATCGACTGAAATGCATTATTTCTTAAGGAGCTTTTGTCCATAAGATGAAACCTTGTATACTGCTATATTGCTAGCTATATCTAGTGCCATTGAGTAACTAGGCTCCTCCTCTCTTTCTCCTTCTAAATACCGTCGTACTATCTTTGCTACCTTCTATCTTCCTGCTTACTTGGCCTTTCGGGATTAGCAAAATGAGTTCCTTGAAGTTTCTGAATAATTAGTACAACTTCGCAGATTACTTTCACCCATATGTAAAAGAAAATGATAAGGTTTGAGACATAAGTAGCCAAAAGAATGTCATGTGATTGTTTGAAGAGACTGCAATGGTCTAGCATCTTTGAGTAGGTCCTCCTCTTTCTAGAATGATATATTACTGTTTAGCGACTTATCAAATATTCAAACATTATTACGTCTGTGCACTTAATTCGGTATCTTTTGTTGCACCATTCATCTGTGGTTATATCTTTTGCTTTTCTTCTATTTTTAAGTTTCCACAAGTTACTCTGATGTGCAAAATTGCGCATGCAGGTCAGGTACTCCTAGTATGATGGATATTGAAGCTTTCTCATTAAGATACAGAGAAAAGCTTGATGAAGCTGAGGTGGCTGGATCTATTCCAAATAACGTATCTCTTGAGGTTCGTAATCCTTTGCTGCATTGCCAGTTTTATGTTATTCTATGTCATCTAGAAGGATTCGTCATCACAAAAGACCAAGTTTCTAGCTCGCTTATACTAAGACTTTAGGGAGTGAATAATCTTTGCAAGGAAACAATTATATTGCTTCTAAACTTCCCAAGACAATTGCATTTCTCCTGAAACATAATATGTGCATGTTACGATCTTGCAATCATATGTTAAAGTTTCTTTATTTTATCACATCTTTTTTTCTTCTTTTTCTGACGAAACTCTATTTATTTCAATCTTCTGCATACGAAAAAATTTACCAGGTATCATCACCTGGTGTTGAGAGAGTTATTCGGATTCCCCAAGATCTCGACCGGTTCAAGGATCGTCCTATGTATGTAAAATATGTTAGTGATGAAGTGGCTGAGGGTGGATCATCATCTGAACATGATGGTGTTCTCAGGCTTGTATCTTTCAATTTGGAAACTAATGCTTGTATTTGGGGCATAGCAGATGTTGGAGTGAATAGAGAAAAAGCAGGGAAAGGTAAACCTCTAAGCAAGAAGCAAAGAGATTGGCGCTTGGAGACACCATTTACATCCTTGCGTTTAGTTCGTTTATATTCTGAAATTTAGAAATTTTAGAGGTTCAAACATTTATAGTCACAGCAAAGAACCTCTTCTGCTAGCAAGGTTTACATAAGAAAAGGACGATACAATTCATTATGGTACAGGATATGAAAGTTTGTATGAAATTGGATTCAGAAGGAACTGGATCATAACATTTTGAAGATTTTGTATTACAAATTTATACGTATTGCTACTCATAATACAGATGTCAGCTATCGCTATACCCATTCTTGTTCAACTAATCCACCTATATTACTTTATGTAACTGGCAATTAGAATTCTGTTAGGATCCAGATATGGATCTAAGCTAAATTCTGTAATAAAATAAAAATGCAAGCAATTGGAACAATTTTCTAGATTTTTATAAATGGTAAAATGGATATCAAACTACAAAACGGAAATTGCAGAATTAAGCTAAGCTATCTAAATGATAATTCGTCGCCGTAGTCATTGGAATCTGCAGAATTTAAGAAGAGAAGAGAGTGATAATTGGGAGGAGAGAAGAGAAAGAAAGAGAACGAGAGAAGAGAGTGGAGGGACTGTGAGGCCTGTTGTTCATTATTTTCCTTCTCTCTTCGTCTGGTATATAACAACCAGTTGTCGACGTGGCAACATCTCGTCCCTCGCTGCTCATTTATGGAAATCTAATCGTGGCCGTCCCTCTTGAAAGTTAGTTATTCCTTCTTATTACGCCTGCCCATGTTCGAACCCAGTTGCATTCACTCACTACTAGAAACCTGGCAAAACCCGTCCACAGAATACCGACCGAAATCGGTCGGAAAAAAAATCCGACCAAAATCGGTCGGAAAATAAGTAAATTGGTCGCAAAAGTCAAAGAAAATATTTCTGACAACGAAAATAGTGGCTCCACAATAAAGATATAAAAATTCCGATCGATTTNTATATATGTGTGTGTGTGTGTGTGTGTGTGTGATGACCCGATAGGTTATCTAATGTTTTAGAACCCAATTCTGCGTTTTGAAGTCTTAAAAATCTCATTTTTACCCTCCTTGATTTGCGTGCGCAGTCCGGGCGTGTTTCCGAAAATCTTTTATGTTAAAAACTGTGAAAAATATGAAATTTTGCTTTGAAAACCATTTGAGTTGACTTTGGTCAACGTTTTGAGTAAACGGACACGAATTCGTGTTTTGACGGCCCCGATGAGTCCGTATCGTGATTTGGGACTTGGGCGTATGCTCGAAATCGAATTTGAAAGTCTCTAGCCCGAGATATCGGACTTTGTTGAAATTTGAAAGCTAAAGGCTTGATGAATTTGAAATGTTTGACCCATAGTTGATTTTTTTGGATATCGGGTCCGTATTTTGGTTCCGGAACCTGGTATAGGTCCAATACCATATTTATGACTTGTCTGTCAAATTTGGTGACAAACGGATTTGGTTTGACGTGATTCGGACGTCCGGTTGTGAAAATCGAAGTTTCAAAATTTTCTTGAAAATTTCATTTCATTTGCTGTTCAATTCGTAGTTCTAGGTGTTAGTTTGGAGATTTGATCGCGCGAGCAAGTTCGTATGATGTTTTTAGACTTGTGTGCACTTTTGGTTTAGAGACCCGAGGGCTCGGGTGAGTTTAGGATAGGCTACAGAGTGAAAATAGGACTTAGAACATTGCTTTCTCTTAGCTCTTCCTAGAGAAGTTTCTCCCTATCACATTGAGAAAGGAGCATCGTCGTCAGTTCGAACGTCTCCAGCAGGGCAGTATGACTGTTACCCAGTATGAGACCCGTTTTATGGATTTGGCCCGTCATGCTCTTCTTCTGCTTCCTACCGAGAGAGAGATAGAGGGTAGGGAGGTTTATTGAGGGACTTGCTCAGCCTATCAGATTGNCACAGTATCAGGATGGATGTTTCGAGTGTGGTGGTTATGGGCATATCAGGAGGACCTGTCCGAGATTATTGGGCGTCCCACCACAACATCAGGGTTATCGTGCCATGATTCCGGAACCAGTTACTACACCACCTGCTCAGCCAGCCAGAGGCGGGGGTCAGGCAGCCAGAGGGAGAGGCCAGACTGTTAGAGGTGGAGGTCAGGCCGTTAGAGGTGGAGGCCAGTCAGCTAGAGGCCGTCCCAGGGATGTGGTTGAGAGTGGTGTGGCCCAGCCCCGATGTTATGCTTTTCTAGCTAGGCCTGAGGCTGAATCATTTGACACTGTTATTACAGGTACTGTTTCAGTTTGCAGTAGAGATGCTTCAGTTCTATTTGATCTGGGTTCTACTTACTCCTATGTGTCATCCTATTTTGCTTCATATTTGGTTGTGCCTCGTGATTCTTTGAGTGCTCCTGTGTCCACACCTGTGGGAGATGCTATTATGGTAGATCGTGTTTATTGTTCGTGTGTGGCTACCATTGGGAGTCTTGAGACTAGTGTAGATCTTCTACTTCTCGATATGGTTGATTTTGATGTCATTTTGGGTATAGATTGGCTGTCACCTTATCATGCTATATTGGATTGTCACGCCAAGACGGTGACCTTAGCCTTACCGGGGTTGCCTCGATTAGAGTGGAGAGGGACTCCTGGCCATTCTACCAGCATGGTTATCTCTTATGTAAAGGCTCGACATATGGTCGAGAAGGGGTGTCTAGCTTATTTAGCTTAAGTCCGTGATTCTAGTACGGAGGTTCCTTCCATGGATTCAGTACCAGTTGTTCATGAGTTTCTAGAGGTGTTTCCTGTATATCTGCCGGGGATGCCACCCGACAAATATATTGACTTCTGCATTGATTTGGCCTCGGATACTCAACCCATTTCTATTCCGCCATACCGTATGACCCCACTAGAGTTGAAAGAATTAAAGGAGCAATTGCAAGATTTGCTTGATAAGGGCTTTATTAGACCTAGTGTCTCTCCCTGGGGTGTGCCTGTGCTGTTCGTGAAGAAGAAGGATGGATCGATGTGGATGTGCATAGATTATCGGTAATTGAACAAAGTCACCATCAAGAACAAGTATCCATTGCCAATGATTGATGACTTATTTGATCAGCTTTAGGGTCCCAAGGTGTTTTCAAAGATTAATTTGAGGTCTAGATACCATCAGTGGAGGATTCGGGCATCTAATGTCCCTAAAACAGCCTTTCAGACTCGGTATGGGCATTATGAGTTTCTAGTGATGTCATTTGGGTTGACAAATGCCCCAGCAACATTTATGGATTTGATGAACCGGGTGTTCAAGCCTTATCTGGATTCCTTTGTGATTGTGTTTATTGATGATATCTTAATCTACTCCCCCAGTCGAGAGGAGCACGAGCAGCATCTTCAGATCATTCTTCAGACTCTGAGAGACAACCAATTATATGCTAAGTTTTCAAAATGCGAGTTTTGATTGAGCTCAATCACTTTCTTGGGGCACGTTATGTCGGCAGAGGGTATTCAGGTGGATCCTGAGAAGATTGAGGCAGTTTAGAACTGGCCTAGACCCACTTTAGCTACAGAGATAAGGAGTTTCTTGGGTTTGGCAGGCTATTACCGTCGATTTGTGGAGAGGTTTTCATCTATAGCAGCCCCGTTGACTAGGTTTACCCAGAAGGGTGCCCCGTTTAGATGGTCAGACGAGTGTGAAGCGAGCTTTCAGAAGCTCAAGGCTGCTTTGACTACAACGCCGGTGTTGGTGTTGCCCACATGTTCAGGATCTTATATGATATATTGTGATGCGTCCCGTGTTGGGCTCGGTGCGGTATTGATGCAGGAGGGTAGGCTGATTGCATATGCGTCGCGGCAGTTGAAGGTTCATGAGAAGAATTACCTTGTCCATGACTTAAAGTTGGCAGCCATTGTTCATGCGCTGAAGATTTGGAGGCACTATCTTTACGGTGTGTCGTGTGAGGTTTTTCACTGATCATCGGAGCCTTCAGTATTTGTTTAAGCAAAAGGATCTCAATTTGAGGCAGAGGAGGTGGTTGGAGCTATTGAAAGACTATGATATCNAGTTGGCAGCCATTGTTCATGCGCTGAAGATTTGGAGGCACTATCTTTACGGCGTGTCGTGTGAGGTCTTCACGGATCATCGGAGCCTTCAGTATTTGTTTAAGCAAAAGGATCTCAATTTGAGGCAGAGGAGGTGGTTGGAGCTATTGAAAGACTATGATATCACTATTTTATACCACCCCGGGAAGGCCAATGTAGTGGCCGACGCCTTGAGTAGAAAGGCAGCGAGTATGGGCAGCCTTGCATTCATTCCAGTCGGTGAGAGGCCGCTTGCATCAGATGTTCAGACTTTAGTCAACCAGTTTGTGAGGTTGGATATTTTATAGCCCAGCCGTGTTCTAGCTTGTACAGTTGCTCGGTCTTCTTTGTTTGAGCGCATCAGAGATCGACAGTATGACGACCCTCATTTGTTGGTCTTTAGGGACACGGTGTGGCACGGTGATGCCAAGCAGGTTACGGTTGGAGATGATGGAGTTTTGAGGATGCAGGGTCGTGTTTGTGTACCTAATGTGGATGGACTTTATGAGTTGATTCTAGAGGAGGCCCACAGTTCCCGGTATTATATTCATCCGGGCTCCACAAAGATGTATCAGGACTTGTGGCAACATTATTGGTGGAGGAGGATAAAGAAGGATATAGTTGCATATGTAGCTCGGTGTCTAAATTGTCAGCAAGTAAAGTACGAGCATCAGAGACCTGGTGGTTTGCTTCAGAAGATAGATATTTCTAAGTGGAAGTGGGAGCGTATCACTATGGATTTCATTGTTGGACTCCCACAAACTCAGAGGAAGTTCGATGCAGTTTGGGTCATTGTGGAAAGGCTGACCAAGTCAGCGCATTTCATTCATGTGGCAGTTACCTATTTTTCAGAGAGGTTGACAGAGATTTACATCCGCGTGATTGTTCGTCTTCACAGTGTGCCCGTGTCTATCATTTCCGATCGAGGTACGCAGTTCACCTCACACTTCTGGAGGGTTGTACATCATGCGTTGGACACGAAGGTTGAGTTGAGCACATCATTTCATCCTCAGACGGACGGACAGTCCGAGCACACTATTAAGGTATTGGAGGATATACTCCACGCTTGTGTTATAGACTTCGAAGGTTCGTGGGATCAGTTCTTGTCGCTTGCGGAGTTTGCCTACAACAACAGCTATCAGTCGAGCATCCAGATGGCTCCCTATGAGGCATTATATGGTAGACGGTGTCGATCGCTGATTGGATGGTTTGAGCTGGGGGAGGCTCGGTTATTGGGTACAGATTTGGTGCAGGATGCCTTGG